TCTCTCTTCACTTTAATCGTTCTGATTGGTACCGGGTGGTCCTTCTTGAAACCCTACTTGCAGGACAAGGAAAAAAAAGTTCTGATGATCGTAATTCCACTTCAGGTAGTTGCAAATATCGCGCAGGTCGTAATCGATGAAACGGGCCCCTTCGGTCAGGATTGGGTCACATGGAAACAAGTTTTCTTGCTAGTCGATGTCATATGTTGCTGCGCGGTGCTCTTCCCTATCGTCTGGTCGATCAAGAACCTGCGGGAAGCGGCAAAAACCGACGGAAAAGCTGCGGTGAATTTGATGAAGCTGACTCTGTTCAGGCACTACTACATTGTGGTGATATGCTACATTTACTTTACGAGGGTCGTGGTTTATGCATTGGAAACAATTACTTCGTACAAGTACCTGTGGACTAGTGTTGTTGCCGGGGAATTGGCCACATTGGCTTTCTACGTGTTCACGGGGTACAAGTTCAGACCCGAGGCGCACAACCCGTATTTTGTTATTGACGATGAAGAAGAGGAGGCTGCAGCTGAGCAGTTGAAGCTTGAAGACGAGTTTGAACTATGAGGTAGATGTTGCTTCCCGTTATACGAATTGTTGTCCAGTTCTTTCGTTGTGCTCGATTTTAAGATTCGGATATATATAAATATATATATGTATACATGGAACTACTTGTGTGTAATCTTGAAAACTTGGATGTGCGTCGATTGTTTTTGGAAGGAGAATGAATAGTTGAGAACTCAGAGAGGAATAATGTATTTGGTTAATATCTTGTTGGTCGTCCGTCCGTTACGTTATCGTTTTACGATTGATCTTGCGTTGGCTTCTTATTTACGATTTCACCCGGACGGAGCTTCAAATCTTCGTTAAAGAATAACATCTGCCCGAATATTCTTAGAAAGTGCAATACCATAACATTATCATTTCATGCCTCATAAGTCTCTAAGAAATTGAATTGAAATACCAACACCACACCATTCAATATTTGTATACCTATGAGTATCCATTAACTTCAATTATTCAAACTATTGTGTCACCATATTAACCAAAAAAAAAAAAGTTAATTCTAAATTAAGTGCTTTTTTGTAAAAAAAAATTGCCTACTAATTTTTAATAATGAAAATTTCAAAACTAGCAGTGTTAATTTTTTCTAAATTGTATTAATATGAATTAGTAGTGGAGAACTTTTTTTGCACTATTTTTAGTGATGTTTAGCTTATAAATTATTGTGAAATTACCTTTTGTAAAATGGAAGAGTAAGTGATTTTTATAGATAACAAAAAATAAAGGCACCTTTATTGAATTTGGGATATCTACAGTTTTCACTCGTCTCACATTAATCCCCAATGTTCATAAAAAACACATTTGATTCCTCGTTTTCAATAATTTAACATTTTTGGTTCTTTTCGTCAATTCACCATTAGTTCGACAGAAATGATGTGGACACGCTTGATTCCGTTAGTAGTAACGAAAAATTGACGGAAATGACTAAAAGTGTTGAATTTTTAAAACATGAGGGACCAAAATACGATTTTTGTGAACATAAGGGACTACATGTGTAATCAGTACAAACTTGAGGCTTGAAAATTATTATAATTTGATGAACTACCCCTAAATTGTAAATACAGATATATAAAGGTGCAGATAAATATAAATAGAGAGATAAATAAAGTGAGAAGAGAGAGTGTAAAAAAATTTGAGTTCCCGCCACTTGCACATCAACCCCTCTCCTATCGGGTGTTGATTTCGTGCGATTCCTTTTCAAATCACAAATGCTATCTCCGTTCCCTAATTTTTGAATCATAATCTTTTTTTTTTCTGTTAAATCGATTTATATAAGCAGACGAAGCACCAATTCGGCGTTTGCAATGGAGGATGCCCAGCGGTGGAGCGTGATGTACACCAAGCACGTTAGGCAGAAGCGTAAAGTTTATCAAGATGGTTTTCTGGAGCTTCCATCCTCCCGCAATAAGGTTTTTCCTCTTCTTCTTCATATATATACATACAATTTATGAATGTTTCCGATGTTCCTAATTCGAGAGGTATAGGCTAATACGAGATGTTAATTTCTGGATTTGTTTCTGAATTAAAATCGACATTTTGCAGTTTTTTTTTCGTCTGGATTTTATATTTGAGCATTGAAAATGTTAATTGTTGTCGGTTATAGACGACCACTAACTATTAAGCTGAGTATTTGCAGTAATTCGAGCAAACATTGTTGCTGATATGTTCGCGGAATTTACATTGAATTGTTAAATTTGATTTGTGTGTTCACCAATAAATGTATGTCTGTGAGAGCAGATATTGCTGGAAATAACTAGTTAAAACGCATTTTTCTAGGCTTATTTTCTAATTTGAAATGCATGTTTTCCATTTACTGTTGTGTGTGTACCTTATTGAAGTCTCTGCTATAGATAATTTGATTGATTTATTACTTTCAAGCACAAATCACACCACTTTGATGAATGATTGCTATATTTCTTCTGATAAGTGTTGTAGATCAAAGTTTGATATTCCCAATTGAATTATTGTGACTTTTGTAAACTATAGATATTGCTCAATAATTAGTTTTATCAAATCAAGTGTAGTATATTCAACTAGGGTTTTTATTTAGTTCGTTATTTTTCACTGCCAGAATAACCGCTGAGAGATCACAACTTGAGTCGTTAATTTAAAGTTTTAGGACTTTTAAAGTCATTATATCAGCCATGATAAGAAATTGGTTTATGGATGTTTGGTTCATAATTGAAAGACTTCTGTTGTTTATAATCGTTTCTAACTTATTAACCGTAAAAGGTTATGCTATATGACGAATGGGATAAGATCCTGGAAAGTAGGTTTGTGAAGAAAGATGATGTTATCAGATCTGGTGAATCTCTGTCCTTCGGTTCCTATCTTGTCGACATTGGTGAACTATGTGGTCGCCAAAAACCTACATCTACTGCAAATTGTCAAGAAAAAGAAACGAAAGTTTCAGAGAAACCAGGTCCATTGTACAGCTACAGTAACCAGAGTAATTCACTTACACTTTTTATATTCCTTTTCTTTGTTTTATGAGAGTTAGTTTCCGGGACTTCCTTTAGTTGTACGCACACACTCTTCTGTCAAATAACTCCAGAGTTTATTTGTCATTGAAAGATAAAAGGCCAACATTTGGGAAGAGTAAAGTACAAGTGATCAACTTAAGTCCATCGCAGAAAATCATTCGAGGTTTGTTAATCAACTCGACTGGTTTATTTACAAAGCATGACTAAACTCTTTGCATCTAATAGTGAAGAGACTTACAACCTGTTCTGAACTTTCAGACTTCAAGAAGAGTGAAATGATCAAGTGTGTCTCTCCACCAATATGTGTAGATACAATAAGAACCAGTACAACAGGTGAGTTTTAAACTCAACCCATGCATCTGAAAGCAATATCGGTACTTTCCTATTAGATTTTTCTGAAATTATCTGAATTTTTTTGCCTTCTTATAAAGCACCACATACTATTGATGCATAGTCTTTTATGAATATTTAGCATTTTTTTGTTTCTGTAATAAGAATGGCAGGTATTGTACACGACACATATAACACAAAAGGCGAAGAAATTTCATGATGGCTTTTTACAACTTGTAGTTCGTGGATCACAAGGGAGGCAGGTACTAACATCTGTAACAAGTTGATAGTTTTTCTCCATCTATGTAATCTTGTCAAACATGAACACCTTTACAGAAAGTTAATTTCACCAACATATGGTGATACATGCTTTCTTTTTGACGTAATCTGAAAATCATACTATCAAAATAGTAAACTTCCATATGTGCGCTATTATCCTGGACACACGAAATCAGTATCGGAAGTAACTGCTTGAAGGCAGCCAGTTTATTCAATTTTATCTGAATCCGATGTTTAATTTACTTTCATCCAGGTTAAGTTGTATGACATAAACAAGAGACACTTGGATAGCAGGTTCTTGAAAAAAGATGAGATAGTTCGCTCTGGTGAATCACTGCCATTTGAGGGTTATCTAGTAGAGATTGGAGAAGAGGAAGGAGATCATAAACCAGTAACTGACTCAATCCTTGAGGTTAAAAACTGCAACGTAATTGGGAAAACTGATGTAGCTGATCATCAAGCCAAAATCCCAATAAATAAGAAATTTTCTGCTGGTATTTCCTCTCTTGATCATCTAATAATCCTGTGTTGGGGTACATATATTGTTATATCTTTTCTTTTTGAACATTCACATTGTGTTTTATTAATGTAGTTTGAGTTCCTGTCTTAGCTTTATTTCGATGAAGTTCTCTGTTTAACGTCTTCATGTGTCAATTCTTTGGATGATTTAGCAATTGACGAATACCTAGCACCATTTTGGCAGCACTGAGAGGTCTTTTACCTTACATACCTACTTGTATTAAATTCTTAGAATGTCAGATCTCGTTCTCTATGGAGATCTTGTAACTTAATCTCTTTTTTTTTTTTTGACAATGGTCACTAATTTGAGTTACCTGTTACTTTAATAAAAACTAAAGTTGCTGTTGTCGTTTGCTATGCATCCTCCTTTTCTCCATGCATCATATTGAAATTTTTATTGTTCGATTTTTGTACCATTTTAGTGAAGGAGTTATACGTTCCAAATTTTCTCTTGCAGTCGTTTATACCAGGAACTGAATCTTCATATTTCTTTCCAATTTGGTGCAAGTCACTTCAAAATGCATTTTGCTGGTGAAATGAAATTAGCGACTGTTCCAGTCCTCTCTTCTACTATTATAATAGAGGAATTTGCTCTCATTGTTATGTAATTTTGAATCTCTCCTTTTCACAACATGTATTTGCTTGCATGTGAAGGTAAATATCCAGACAAGACCTCTCCTAAGAAACTTACTACCCTTGGGGATTCAAGCCCCAAGATCGAAAATGACCAATTAAGTTGTAGCAGACCTGCAAACGAGCCTAGACGTGCTGGTAAGAGATCTTTTGATCTGAAAGCATTAGCAGACTTATATATAATGGAAATCCATGTTTTTCTCAGACGATTTTTTGTTTCGTAAGTATCGACTTATTGACTGACTTCAGTCCAGTGCTTTCAGAAACAATGATCTCAACATCTATTTTCCATGCCTTCGATATCCCATATTGTTGTGTGTTTTAAGCAGAATTATGGTTAAGCAATGCCTTATGTAATTTAAATGTGTACACACTACTGGTCAGACTCCAATTATACTCACTCATCGACTGAGTTCAGTCTAATACTTTGACAAATGATCTGAACATTTGGAATAGGTCCTATCTTTTGGATGAAAATTTACATTTAAGCATAACTCCGAGATTTCCTTACTCAGTATACGAGTGGTACAAGGCACATGATAGGAATTTGGTTACTGGTAATAGAAACTAGCAGCTAAAGGTGATATGAGAGATTTGCGAATTTGGTCTTACTATCTTGGTTAAGTCAGCTGCATAATAAAACTGAAATCAGTTTTGCTCTTGGTTTGATATCAACGTTTTTAGGCACTCTGCTAAATTTTGACTTAATTATGCTGTTATGACTTATAATCTCTCATGATGTTTTTCTAGATTATTGGAAATTTAACAAATAGAAATATACTCTGTTTTCTGACTCTGTTGGCTAAGATTCTCTTGAAAATTTCATCTCTATTTATCATTGAAGAATCACCTATCTGCTGTATTATCTGAGACAGCTTATCATTTGAGAAAACAGATGGAAATGATAAATTTTATGGTATTTCACCTAAATTGTACCTTTATCCGTGCAGCTCAGCCTGTGTCGACTGAATGATTATTTTATTGTATTTCAATTAAATTATACTTTTATCTATGGATTCACTTGTTTCTTCACCAGTTTATCATTTGAGAAAGAACATTCACTTACCCCATTTAGCGTCAAAATAGCACAGATAAATGTTTAAGTAATTATTTGATAATTTATTGAAATAATGAGGCTTGATAGGAACAAAACATGAATCGAGAAAAGTGTACTAAATTAAACTGGATCTAATATGCAGCGTACTTAATGTCCGACTTAAGACAGTCATAATAGCTGGTTTGGAAACCTTACCTCATAAACGTACTTTTAGAGTCGCTCGTTCTAGTTTTGGTTAATAGAGCAACTACCTACCGCCCTATAGCTCTTTATATTCTATACCGTCCATCATGTCATGAATAATTTTGTAGTTTTTTCATTCCTTTTAGATGGAGTAAACAATATTCAGAACTCTTACGAGTATTTGCATCGGATATTACATATATGTTCTTTTGTAACATCCATATTTAATTATTTATTTCATTTCAGACCATTTTTATACAGCTGTTCTTGTATATGCTTCTTTTTTTGCTACAACTGGAAACTGACATCTTTTATCCTACGACAGTTCATGACATCTTGTCTATTCTCAAACAACCAGTTCAGAGAAATGTTGTCAAAATGGACAAACTGATTAAGGTTAAGGTGGAGGACTCCCTTGAATCACACTCTTCACATGTTTCTTCTGATATCAAGGGTCATACAATGGAGTATGCTGAAGATTTCAGTGAAAGTTCACTGGACGAACTGACAGAAAAAGCCTCAGACCGTTACCGCAAAATTAAGATTTTAAAAACTGAAGATGTTGAAGTCCTCGTTGCAGCTGAGAAGTGCACAGTTTCAGGATATGAGAGAGAATCCTCTAGCTTCTATCCCGGGTATGTATTTACATGAAATCGTAAATCCGGAAATGCAAAATTGTCATAAGACCTGTGATAAAGTGTTGATTGCGCAATGTGTTTTTGTCTCCATTGTTCTGCATATCTGAGCAGTGCTTTCCTTAGGAAATCGAGACATTATTTTTCTTCGCCAAGAATTCATGTTAAAATAGAAACACCATGTTAAGAATA